TGCTAATTTAATATGTGAAGAAGAAAAATTCGAACATTGGAGTTAAAAATTGATCGATATTCGTCTATCTCTATTTCGATGACTCCGATTGAACAAACATCGCCACTCATTAATTTATTAAAGATGATATTAAAAAATTCAACATACTTTCAATTTTTCTTGGTCATGAATCTTAAAAATAATTTATTGACGTTTATTTATTTTCACAAAAATCTCAAAACAAATGGAGAATAACAGATGATAGGAGATTAAATTTGAAAGCAGGTTTTTATTTTTGTTATGGTGGTCGTGGTTACTGGGTAGAGGAATGGATAAAAGAAAGAAGAAAGGTCAAAGGGTTAGGTGGGGGTGGGGATTTTCTTTTGTTAATATTTTTGTGATTAATAAATAAAGGGAAACTATTTTTCATTTTTTTAAATTAAAAAATTATATTTTATTGCTAGATTGGGTCCATGTGCCAAGTGTCATAATTTTATTTGTCATTTTTTTAAGTCAAAGCGCGTGAACTCCACACAAAATATTTTAAAAAAAGTTTTCGTTTTATGTTCAATAGATACATATATTTTAATATTAAAGTGTCTAATAGGTAATAGTCTTAGTTGAGGTGTCTAAGTGAATTATGCGAACAACTTTAAGGGGTCGCATATGACTTAAGCCAGTTGTTGAGTGTTGTTTAATCATCCTTATATATTATGTTATTGTCACTCACGTACTATCTTGTTCTTCACTTCTATTGTTAAATGTTGTTTTCTTTGTTTAGACTATCGTGATATGTGTTATTGCTATTGTTGCTCTTCTCCGTGACCATTTCACCATAAGTAGTAACTTTTTTTACTTGATTTTGATATGCTTTACTTGAATAGATATGGAGGTAAGACTGGTCTGCATATATATCGTTGTAATAACTCTCTATAGGCCAAAGATGGGTGCAAAGTCAATATAGTAGTGATAAGTTCAGTAGATAGTTCAAAAATATTTATATTTTATATGTACGAATAATTTATTTGAAGTTCGATAATTAAAAATAATTACTAATTTAGAATTTCTAAATTGAAAATCCAAACAACGAGTCTGGTCAAAGACATAATTTTAACCAGGACAAATGGAGTACTTTTTAAAAATATAAGTTAAAATTAAAAACACTACTGTCTTGGAATAACTTTAATAGCAGTATCCAATTTTATTTTTTAGAATTGAGAGAACTTCTTTATTGTTTTTTAAAAAGATTAAAATATATTACAAATTGTCAGACAGTCAGGCATATTACCCCCTACCACAAGAAGACGTTCTTCATAGTATGCAGTAGTCAGTCAGGTTAAAAAAATGTAAGCAACTTAATACCATGTTATATTTTTGTAAAAATCATGTCCATTAAGAAATAAAAAAGTAACTTTGAAAATTAGTCAGTGGTAAGAAAAGCAGATTTATAAGATTATAACTGAAAACACATATTGTATTTTTTTTTATCGTTATTTTTAAGCATAAACATCTTATGTTATTTTTCTAAAATGTAATAAATCAAAGGCTCAATTATCAACAACTCCATGATGGTATTTTTCTGGTAAAAGAATGATTATTTTACTTGTTTTTATGGCTGACTAACTCCTGTAAAAGCCCCTACTTTATTGTTCTTCTTTTAATCTACTTATCCAATGGTTGTAAAGAAACGATATTGACATGTGCTGTGATTCAATACTTTCGATGCTATTATACTGATCATCGAAATAATACAATGAAATATTCGATTAATTTAAATTTACAATAAATATATCTATTAAAAAAGTAAAGTTATCTATATTCAAGTACTATCAAATATCAGCTTTGATTAAAAATAAAAAAACATCTTAATTGTTTCACAAACTCTTTTTTATAATACTCATGAGCATGATGATGAACAAATAGTAGATAGATAAAATGCTCAATAACCACTTTGGGGTGTCTCATAGCTATTATCACGAAGTTTCAGAATATATACATAGATTTCATAAAAATATTCTATAATTTTATACGTAAAATTTAAATTTCTATTAAACGATTATTCTTAATCACGAGAATAGAAAAAAGTGTACGATAAGATGAGATATCATACTTTTATTATTTTGTTGTATTTTTCACATCCCCTTCATGTGCAAGTTCAATTCTTTTTCATGGGTCAAATGCGTAAATTATTTTTTTTTGATCTCAAGACCTTTGCTTGTTTTCATACCATGTCCAAGTGTATTACCGTCTTAAACTATCAAAAAATATATTTTTATTATTTAATTGTATTCTCAACACAAAGTGACGACCAATCGATTAACCGCTAATATTTAAAATATTAGTCTCGTGTCGCTGAAGGAGTAAGTGATGCCTAGTGGACAAAGTGTCGAATGCAGTTTGGTTCAACTGTTCAAACAACAAAAACGGTGCAGATTCGGTCAATGTCTTCTAACCCTGTTCTCGTATAAGGTGTAAACAAAAGTGTGTACTTATTTTATTTTAAAAATATATGAATCATCCTTTAAAAAAAAATACTACTATCATACAAATAGCCACTTATTAGATGATTACGAACTAAAATATCTCCCACTATTTTATTTCATAGATCTAAAATCATGCTATTATTTTTAATTTTAAATTATCACGTAAAAAATTGAAATTAACGAATTACTAGATATATAAGTACGATTCTTCTTTAAACAAAGTTTTTTTTTTTATAAAAAAAGTAAACACATAAATTGAAACAAAAAGTTTATATGTATATTTAGTGTTCTAATTACCGATATATTAGTAGATTTATGAGCTTTGAAACAATATTGAGTTTGATTTTAAGATTTATTTGGTCATATATTTTGAAGTTGAAATTTGAAACTTTGGACATGCTTATAGTAACAATTAAAGTTTTATGAGTAAAAGTCCTAAAAATTCAAAACTTGGTCATTTAAAACTCAGAATTTTAAAATCTTATCAAATTTCATGACCAAAAGTTAAAAGACTCTTAATTTACTAAAATAGATAAATAATAATGAAATAGAGAACGATCCTCATTTTATTTTACAAGCCAAGTAAAATGACGTATAATTTTTTTTCTTCTTATATACAAGGTACATTTCAAAAACGTCATAAAAAAGTGAAATTACAAGTACATTTCATTTTGTTTAAATATTATTTTTTAAAAAAAAAACACAAACTTTTTTCCCAGATAACAAAGCATCCACTATTTGATGAAGGCAAACGGTAAACATTTCCTGCTAATATTTTACTCTTTTATAATGCACCATTCCCAATTGCAAGACATTACTCCATAAAAACGACAAAGTAAAATAAATGAATATAGTAAATACAAAAAAAAAGGGGTAAAAAACAAACTCCAAAATCGAATAAATTAAGTTACCAAAATTAATAGTAGTTGAAAGAAGGCCGTCAAAAATGAGGATAAAATTGTCACTTTCTGTTTACTGAGAATGACAGTGCATAAGAATTAAGGAAATCTAGTAATTAATCCCTACCTAAGAAGCTGACAAGTGGAAAAAATAGTCATTATCTTCAAATAATTGCAAGATTAGCTCTTTACCTGGAAGATTGAATAGACTATATTACCCTCTCTTTTTTTTGAGGTTTGACCAAAGTTTGACTCCTCTATTCCCTCACTGATTCACTGACTCTCTTCTGTCTCTTCTCCCCAAAAAAACCAAAAAATCTCTGCTAAATTATGGCAGTGAGAAAGAAAGAAGCTAATTTAGATTCTAAACTGACGGACTTCACCCACAATTTAAATGAAAAAAAGTAAAACTTTTTATATACTTTTTTTAAAAAAATTTTTTTACAAGCATGAAATACTCAACGTGTGGGTTTTGTACCTGAACAATACTATACTTTTGACCATACAGTCAAAAATATTTATACAATTAGATTATAAATATCATAAGTACTATTTATTAATATTCTATATAAAATTAAATATAAAATATTCATTACCTTGTTATAAAACATTTTGATTATTTTTTGCCAAACACAAGAATACTCTCATCACTCTTCCCTTACCTCGAGCCCCTACCACCTCTTCTTAACTCACCTTTTGATTTTCTCTCTCTCTCTGAAATCTCTCCTACAGCAATTTTTGCTCTTAGAAAGAAAGAAAAAAAAAGAGGAAAAAAACATCCTCTTTCACTGACACAGTTATACTATATTATTTTTTTCTCTCTCTTTTTCTTGTTTTGTTGTTTGAGAAATTTTCTTTGTTTGCAGAGGAAATGGCTATGGCTCTGCTGGTTAAGGCCAAGTGGGTATTCCCAATACTTGCTTTTTTACCTAAAAACCTCTTTCTATGTTTCAATGGGTTGTTCTGAAACCATTCTTAAAAGGGACATTTTTCGACTTGTTGTTTCTCTCTACAGTAGAATCTGTGTTCAAAAAAGGAACTTACTTTAATCCCTTTTCACCCCCCCACACATCCCTCCAAGAAAGCACCTTTTTTCAAGAATCTCCTATTTTTTGCAAAGCTGAGTAGGGGGAAGAAATGGGGTGTGTTGCATCCAAGTTAGAAGAAGAAGAAGAGGTAGTATCCATATGCAAAGAGAGAAAACAGTACCTGAAATTGGCTGTAGATAGGAGGTACACACTGGCTGATGCACATTACAAGTATTGTCAAGCATTGTATGGAGTCTCAGCAGCTTTAAAACTCTTTGTTGCTCGTCATTCTACACCTACTTCTCCATATCTCATCACATTCCCACCACCTTGTTGCCCTTCTTCTCCAAAAAAAGAGTGTGTGGTTTCAAACCCCTTGTTTCTTCAGCAAACACCTTCTGAGCCAACCCAAGAAACTATTTGCTGTGGGCCATGCAATAAATCTACAGCAACACCATCAGATTCTTCTGAGGAAGAGAGAGAAGAGAAAGTTATGAAACAGCAGCAGCAGCCACAAGGTTATGGCTATTATTACATGGAAATGCCTCAGATGATGCATTCACCACCAACAGATTTTGGTTGGGATTTTTTCAACCCTTTTAATAGTGTAAGGCCAGAGATGATTAGTGGGTATCATAGGATTTCTGAGGAGGATTTAAGGGCAGTGAGGGAGCAAGAAGGGATTCCAGATTTAGAAGAGGAGGAAGAGGAAGATGAGGATGAAATGAAGGAAGAGAATAAGGTAGTAGCCACTAAAGAGAAAGAAAATGTGGAGCAAAGAGAAAATGGGAATGAAGTTGTACAGCAACCTGTACATACTGCTAATGTAAACCAAGAGGACCAGAGAATAAGTTTGACAGTCGTGGATAATCCATTACAGGGGAGGGAGTTACTTGAAGCACTAACTGACATTGAAGACCATTTTGTCAAGGCATATGATGCTGGAAAGGAAGTATCAAGGATGTTAGAGGCAAATTGGGTACATTCACAGCCTAATTTGGGAGAACCCAAAGGTAAAGCATATCAAATTACTATCTTTTTCTGAGTGAGAAATTTCTTTTTGAACTCCTTCAACAAAGTCTAATGTTTATCTCGTTTGCTTTAGGTTTGTGTTCCTCTTAATTTTTTTTTTGGCTCCACTACTATTCCTGTTAAGAAATGCTGCCACTGGGCTTACATGATAATCTTTTGCTTTAACATTTATTGGCTTCTTTAATTGTTTTTTGGTTCCACTAGGAAATGCTTAGAAGGATTTGTTGCAGTTTTGTCTGTCTTGATAATCTTTTTTCCTGGAAAGAAAGTGGCATCCAGTTGTTTTTGATAAGGAACTTTTCTCCTCTTGAGAAGGCAAAGGCAAAGGCAAAGTGCAAAGTGATATCCTATTGTTGAAACTCTAGCGTAATAATTTGTCGATTATATTCCTATAATGTGAAGGATTGCCAAGTCTATTAATTATCCCTCATGATTTGCTTCACAATTTCTCACACTAAATAGTCAATTGTGGGTAAGAGCATAGTCTTGGCTGGTCAGTGTCGGTAAGAGGTTGTACTGTTGATGAGAGTTAAATTGCTTATCTATTATACCTTACTATTGCGGAGTAATTTTGAGATTTTCAGGTTTCATTATTTTCTGAATTTGTGCAATTATATCATGTATGCAGAGAACTCAACAAAAATCATCCCAGCAATTACTTGGAAGTCTCCTGCATCTCGTTCACCATCATGCAAGAGTCTTGTGGCGTCTAGTTCCAAGAGTTCTTCCACATGGACAGAATTCAAGAATGATCTATTTGATGATTATGGTGGAATGGGTTCTGGGAGCCATTTGCTGACGCTAGGAAGGCTGTATGCTTGGGAGAAGAAGCTGTATGACGAGGTTAAGGTATATATCATATTGGCCAATCATTCTCTTATTAAATCCTTAAATCTATCTTGCTCGCTATGAGAAGATACGTTCTTCTGCAATGCTTAAGCCTAAAACAAGTCATGTAACATCTTGTCATATAAGAACACTAAGAAGTCTGCCTCAGAATTTACATAAATATGAGTGACTAATTAAACTTTGAGATCTCCGTTATGACCACCAGTTGGTGTTATGAGACCTGGGGCATCTGTATTTGTCTGTACATAAGTTGGCATATACTATCAATATGTTCAAGTACTTCTAGTATTAGACTGATGTAAATCCTACGGTAGGACCATTCTTTGATTTTTTCTTGGACTTCCAAGGATATCTACCTAAATTGGGCTATTATTAGAGGGATACTAGTCCACATGGTTAAAACCATGCATCAATTTCGTGCTACGGCTTTACTACTGTACATTTGTCAAGTACTGCTACTATTTCACTCTTCATTGATCATTTTGGATCAGTTCCTTACATCTAGACTACCTTCAGGCTGGAGATAGCACTTGGAAATTATATGAGAAGAAGTGCAATCAACTAAAAAATCATGATGCCAGAGGAGATGAAGGACGGACCGCAGACAAAACCAGAGCAGCAGTAAAAGAATTATATAGCAGGATCCTAGTCACAATTCGAAGTGCTGAGACCATATCAAAAAGAATTGACGAACTACGAGATGATGAACTGCAGCCTCAAATCATTGAACTGCTTCAAGGGTAAGGAAGAGTTACCTGGGTAGCAAACTATCACTTAATACAAGATCTTCATTGACTTGACTTTTTTTTCTTTTACCTTCTTTTGTCTATTTTATACAGTATGATGAGAACTTGGAAGATCATGCTGGAATCCCATGAGATCCAGAACAAGATTATATTCGACGTCAAAAGTTTCACCTGTCCTGCATATGGAAAGTTCTGCAATGACTCTCATCGGCTTGCCACAGTACAGCTTGACGTTGAGCTTCAAAATTGGTGCGCTCGCTTCCGAGATTACATTGCTGCCCAGAAGGCTTATGTGGAGGCACTCCATGGATGGCTGTCCAAGTTCACAGTCTCTGAAGTTGAATTGTATTCCAAAAGTAGGAGTTCAACTCCAGCTTGTCGAGTTAATGGTCCTCCACTTCTCATGATTTGCCACGATTGGTTGTCTGCCATGAACAAGTTGCCAGATAGAGCAGTTTCTGTTGCCCTTAAAGGCTGCGGAAAGGATGTAAGAGCTTTGTGGGTTCAGCAGGGAGAGGAACAGCAACAAAAGCGAAAAGTTGACAGCATGTCCAAAGAATTAGATAGGAAAACACTGGCGTTCCAAAAGGTGGAGAACAAGCTTTATGAGTTCAAGCTCACAGACCGAAGCTCGGAGCTCGAAATTGATCATAGAGCTGAGTATCTGAAGGAGAGGAAGGACTTGCTGGACAACTTCAGGAAAAGGGTAGATCTAGAGAAGGAAGAACACCAGAAATGCATGCAAGAAACTCAGAGGATCACTCTGAACGGCTTTCAGACTGGTTTTTGCCGAGTTTTTGAGTCTATAACAGAATTTTCCAGTGAAGCACTAAAAATGTACAATGAACTACTAAGCAGTGGTGAGAAGGCTGAGAAAATCGTTAACCAGCCATCCATAGAGAGCTCCCAAGCTGGTGAAGATGTCAAAAGATGACTTTGGCTGGTTTGGATTTCCTTATTTAATGCATAGAGTTGAATTGTTAGTTTGTATATTATGGTGCCATCAAAGCAGCTCGCTGAGATGTAGTCACTTGTTTTCGTGATTGGAGTTTCTTCAAGGTCAAAGGCCAGATTTCATAGGACAGTTTTTAATTCCCCTATTCTGGGTTGTTCTGTCAAAGCTACAGAAAAACTGAGCCCGTACTTATCAATCATCAAGCACAGTTACTGTAGTTTTTGGCTCAAAGCCAGTTTGTGAACCCTTAGAAATCACAGGTTCAAATACCGCCATGCCATCTCTCCAAATAAAAAGGAATAAGTTACTAACTTTTAGCTAAAAATCCTTTCCTATATATATATATACACACACACTTCATTATTATATGCATGGATTGACAGCTGAAAATAAAACCCCTATAGCTTCAAATTATTAGTCATTGAGAATACTATGAATAATTTAAGTCTTTTTCCTGACTTGGTCTTCGCATAATATCTAACCTTCGACAGAGTTTAATCCGAAGAAAACAAATGAAATCATACTCTAAATGCATTAATTTGAAGAGTAGCTAACAACTGCACTTCACTGCAGGAGTCCAAGCCTGTTATAATCAATGTACCCTTCTGTGAGAAAATAAATACGTCAAATTCCAATTAAAACACAGTAAGCCACAACTTAATATCAGAACAAACTAGGGATTAAAATACCGTTGATAGAAGAGCAAAGCTGAGAATCTATACTAGCTTTATAAAACAAATATCAGAACTTCCAGAGTTTTGGTAACATTCTTTTGTACATTTAACAAATTACTGGTCCTAGATAAGAACAAGAACCTGAGTAGGCAACAAATAGCCATAGACCTTCTTACAGTAGCAGTTCATACAAGCCTTTGAGTTACCCTATATCAGATACAACGAGACCAGAAATTGCGAGAAAAGTATAAATTCACTCACAACCGTAGCAGGAGTGTGTATACCCAGTAACGGGACAATGTCTACTTGCAACCAATTTTCTACTGCTGAACCTACCACTGCACCAGCGACCAGCCCACCAATTGTTATGACGCTTGCTTTCCCTGTTTGCAAGTAAAGTTTGAGTCATTTTTTTCAGGAAAAGCCAATATTTAGTTCTACAAATATTTTTTTGGCAGAAATACAGCTTAGATGAAATAAACACTAATCGGAATCATAACACGGTACAAATCCATTGTTGGTATTTCCAAAGTCTCATTTGCATTATCCAGAAGCCAGAACAGTACTTCCACACAAATCAACTCCTTCAAAATTTCATTGGCTCTTATGTGGCTACTACTCATGTCATTTTCATATGATAGATAAGGATTATATAAACTTGTTTTCAATTAAAATAAATAAATCATGGTCTCCACTCTCCACAACCTTAGAATGATTTCCACTTCAGCAACATGGAAAATTTGTATAATGTGATCTTCCCTACATATAATGTGATCCTTTTTTTATATATTTCTTCAAATAATTGTACTGAAACACTTCTTCAGTTCATAACACTTGACGAACCAGTGTATACATGACAAGCTTCTTCCATATTTACATTGCATGATACGTATTCCTAATTCTCACCTTAATAACTCTCATCAAATCAAACCATCACGTAGTTTTTTTGTATAATAGGAAATATTCAAGTAAGTCTTCATCAAATAGTCGACAACTTAGATTTAATGGGAGTATTAAGGAGTTGAAGACCAAAATGTTTGTTCATTATCAACGTGATAAAAGACATGGATCCATAACTAATTAGAAGAAACACATTCAACTATTGACAATAATCCAGTCCTATTAATTAAGAAAAAAAAATGATTTAGCAACACAGGAAAATCTGTGAATTATGTTCATAATTGTTGATGAGAAAGACACTTCTTACACGCCAAAAAGATTTTATGGATACTAGCATGAGCATCAAGTCAAGTCTATTTTTCTCACAAGGTTAGAAATGCATATGATAAGGGATTACAACCCTAGCTATGGTTTTCTTGAGGGTAAGTTGAAATTGTGAAAGCTTAAGTGATCCAGAGATAATGCTTAAGATTCAGTTAGTATGGAATGTCAATGAGCAAACTTAACACGTATATGGGGGGCTATTATATACTTTAACAAACAATTTGGTCATTACTTTTGCATGACTGCAATCACGTACTAATGTTTATATTTGAACTCACAAAATGCAATAAATCTACCTAGAAGTGAAACAAAGAGAAGCAACGTATCTTCCTTACCCAACTTGACATTTTTCTTGGTCATGAAGTACAAGGTGGCCCCAAAGCTTGTGGCTAAGATTAGTCCAGGAACATCAGCTCCATACGATACTCCTAAAGGTGTTGAGGCTCCATTAACATATGTTAAGACCATTAAGGCTCCATAGACTCCTGCTTGAACACCTAACTCTTTAGAAGCTGGTGCTTCAACTGCGACTGGTGAGCTCTTGACAGTCGTCTGCAGCCACTTGGGCATTGATCCCATCCCAGAAGCATTAGCAGCTTTAACATCAGCAAAGCGTACACTACTATCCACAACTTTTCCAGATCTCCTCTGTGATAAGCTTTGCATGAGAAGCATATCATATGCCGCCTCTACCTGAAAGTTGTTGAAAGGTTCCGCTTCTTATAGTCAACAACACATATACATATGGCGAAGGAAAAACATAGAGAATAATTTGCACTCGAAGATCTATTCTTTTCCTTCAACAATTTGACTATGCTTATTTAAATATCTGCACCAAGGCAAATTTCAAACAGCTGGTCCCAAAAACCCAATTCTAAATAAGTTGGTACGTATCATGAATCCTCTAGTCATTTAATTTGCTAGAACGTGCAGAACGGATGTAAGTTTCTTCATATATCACATCACGAGTAGTTTCAGACGTAGGTATTATTGATTGATTGATTAATTAATGAATTAATGATTACTTAACATGAAATAACAACTGACGGCAATTGCTGCAGAGACACATATGTTTTTCCAGTATATATACAACAACTAGTATCAACAAAACAAAGCACTAAGAATTTCAAACAGCTAGGAGTTCCAATCAAATACGATAAGCAGGGAAGCTACGAAGTAGTACTTATAAACAACAATTCTACCGGAATTGAAGAAAATACAAGCAGAATTAACTGTAAGACCTGTGCAATTGTATCTGGATCGTCTTTACAAGAAGAGATAATTGACTTTTTCGCACGAAGAATATCATCGAAGCTAGCACCCTCAGTGACACCTAGCAACTTCAGGGCATTCTCTACCGACATCTCGAAAGGAGCCGAATCATCAGCTCTAGAACCTGCTTGAACGGCGGGGTTCAATTTCCGGCGGTGAGAAGTAAACACTAGCCTCCTCCGCCGGAAACTATCGGAGTTTGGAATTTTCGGCAAATGAGCGGAGATTGGAGGGCGGCGGATTGGATTAGGCCGGGTTGAACCGGCCGGGTCACTGCTAATGATAGTACGGTTGGGCCGAACCGAGAGAGATGTGGCCATATTTTGTTTAGGCACAGTGAATATCTAAAGGTGTGACAAAAAACCGAGCGTACAAATAAGGAAACCAGACGTTTTGACGCAACGACAGTATGTGTAATATGTGGCGTTTCTTGTTAGGCAACTGGTGATGTGCAAGTAAATTAAGTAATTGTTATTCTGGTCCACTAAGTTAGTGTTTATTTCGACTTCATTCATCTAGTTTGAAGGATCACCAATCTAGTACTCGTACTTTTTGGAGTCAAGAAGTTAAATGAGATTGAATTCCTAAATGCTAAGTAAGTTTTATACGATGATTTTGTCTTGTGGCATAAGGTGCACCGTTAGCCACTTTTAGAGTAATTACATGAAACATCCATAGTGTTTAACTAATTAATTTTAAAAAGTTAAAAATTAATTTAACTTTTATACTGGTGTTTTTTTAAATGTATATCAAAAAAAAAGAAAGGAATATTCATTATTAGGATAAGTTATTTTGAAAAGTTGAAAAAAAAATATAAATACTTCTAAATTTGTACTTGTTAAAATGCAAATTTGACACGTGAACAATTCAAAAGATGATCAGTGGTAGATTGAGTATAATCCAAATCAGCTCAGCAAAAATGGCTCTAGTCGAAGTGCAAGATTGATATTCCCTACGTAGCATTCTCATTTCTCTAAGTCTAGGTAAGTCTTAAGTCACGTCTAAATACAACTCAACAATAATGGATCACCTTGCTCTCGAGTAAAATGAAGGTTAAGTGGCTAGTGATTGACGATAAGCCTTACAAATCAACTAATTCCACATATTTGAGAATTGTAATCCACTTCGACAGCCACATATTTATAATTGTGACAAAATTAACATGCAAATGATGATCATTGCGAGTAATTAGACTTATAATAAACCCTACTAAAATTAAGGTACATCCCCCCCCCCCCCAACTCCTATGATAACCAATGTGATATCAAAGCATTATGTTGGCGTAATATCACAAATATAATAAATTACACAAATACAATAAATTACAGTTGAAATAAAATGAACAAAAATAGATAAACAAATTTTTAGGCTGAGACATGAATATCTCACTCTCTTTAACGAGATTGAAGCCCATTGCGACGTAAACTACACCGATCCAACAATGATATTCTTGACTTATTCTCTCCAAGATACAACAGCCCAATAATATGTATAACTCAAACAATTCTAGATTAGTTGAAGAATCCAAAGTTCCACAAAAAAAACACCTTCCTTCAACATATAATACTCTCTTTTGTATAAAGTGAATATAGTTGAAGATGTAGAATATATCGTCGCAACTCTCTCTTTCACTAGTACACTAATCTCAATATAAGCATAATAAAATGTTATTTATCCTTTTCACTCTATATTTTTTTTTTGTACTTCTCTTGTTTTCTCTTCTCAGCCAACACAAAGGAAGACCACATTTTTTGTAGTTGATGGATTCTTCCTTGCAATGGATAGAAAGATAGTTGTTAGTAAATTTGCCAAATGAATGGCTCAAACGTTACATAAGTTACAAGACATAAATATAGAATCAATATATATATATATATATAAATGAGGACCATAGATGAGGTGATGTGACACCTCTATATGGCCGTCATTTGCATTTAGTTTTTTTCATCTTTTTTTTAAATAATTATTATATATCATAAAAAATTACTTAAATTTATTATTAAATAAATATTTTATTAATGGTGGGTCATTTATAACAAAAACTCTTCATATTTTTTATTTATTTATCTCACTTATAATTAAAA